CGGCTAGGTTGTATAGTCCTAAAGGGCTTCTAGGAGAGAGAACTTAAGACCTCCAGCTATTCACCCTATGGGCTCAAACTTGATGCTGTAGCATGTGGAAATGACTTTGGGAGACAGGGAAGAGTTACAGCCAAGCTGGAAAAGAGGCTGTCTATAAAATTGTCAGGAGGATCATCTGCCTCTCTTTGGAAGAGTACAAGAGCCCCATTGATGTCACTCTAGTGAAGTAGTCCAGGGAAGACACCCAGATGAATGGATTCTAGGAACAGAATCTTGCAAGGTTCTCCCATCCTTTCTCCCCGTCACCTTTACAGCCCAAGAAACTAGGGGGGATGATCCCTTCTGAGACATTTGCAATGCCTACAATCTTGCTGTGGGCTAAACTGACTCTTATTTGACCCTGGCCCTTGCTGCGGATCTTCCCTCTGTCCTCCAAGATCATTTCCACATACCATTACAGACACACACATCATTTAATAAAATGAAGGTGGAAGTGTTGATATTGTAATATTAACCTCATAGGATATTTCCAGAAGAGATTTTCAGGATATAATCACCCTACATTATTTCTGGAATTCTACTAAATGTTTAATAAAATTCATGAAATTCCCATATTTCTCCACTTCTTTTGTCACTTTTTAAATGTCCTATAAACAAATCAATTCAGAAAAAAAATCAAGTATAAGCACAGTGTAGATTAATTACTATAGATAAAAACTTTCCACCCAAAGCATTTTAATAGCTATGGTGTTGGAAACTGTGACAAACATACTTTGTAGTGAACAAAATTGTTCAAATGCTGCTGGGTTCGTTCTCCCCTATTCTGATGCAATACGTATAAGATTATAAACTTTTCCTCTTTTTTTTAAAGTGAAAGTTGACATTTGCAGAAATATCCCATAACAGGCATGTGAGATATGTTGATTGTGTGACTAGAAAAGGCCATTCTATATTTGCAACGCAATATTTCTCAGGGGGTTAAATATTTGCAAGCTGTGTGCCCCTGTTAACCTATTTTAACTGCTAGTAGTGCTGTAATAGCATCAGAGCAAATGATTATAGATGTACTCTCTCTATTCATGTACAAAGAAGCTATATCTGAGCTAGGAGTTTATGAGACGTATTAGGTGAATTTCAATGCAATGACTTTATGGTGCTGAAATTCCAGCTGCTCCCTCATTTATTTATTAATTATTTTAAAAGATGCATAAGTCTATCCAAATGAAGTCAATCTCAACAGGACATATATAATGTATTTATTCTATAACACCAATGGCATTGCATTGTTTGTTTCTTTTTTTAATGACCCTGTAGTCCCTTGATTCAGGGTGGAGTCAGTGTGGCTAGTTGGAGCTGAATTTTTACTGGCCAGATGCCCTTCCTGATGCCTTCACGGAGTTCGCAGCAGTTATTTTTCTTTTTGAGCTCTGAAAGAGAAAACCTGCTGCTTCCTAGATTTGAACTCTTAACCTTCTGAGTGGGAGGCGAGCATGTTCCCCACTAGGCCACCATGCCACTCATATTATATTGTTTTTTTATCTGCTTCTAATTTTCTTAACCTCTGTCTACTCTGTTTTCTAAATGTTCTTCACTAACAATTAAATATAGTTACTCCAAGAGTGCTACAGAGTCAGAGTTTTCATACATTTCAGAATCATAAAGGCTTTTACAAATGAAGTTCACAATTAACTTCCATACTTTACTCCAGAAAATGGAGCATCATTATTTACTCAGCATGAGAACTGCAGATGACTATGACTTGGATATTTGCATAAATATAAAAGAAAATGTTTGTTTCTTCTTTTCCCTGTCTCATTGTGTTTATGAAAATGCAGATTGGGGAAGGGGCCAATTTCATGGAAGCCAGTAAACAGAACAGATTATAGCTTTCCTGTTTTTATTTTTGGCTGCTACCCTAAAATCACTTTCTAATCTTGGAGGAATCCTGGCATTTAGTCAAGCAGCCTGGGGACAAGGAATGAAGGGCAGTCTGCTGGCTGGCAAACTAAATATATAACATGGCCTGATGCCTTGTGGATGCCTGGACCATGGGAGCTTCCAGCTAGTACAATCTGCTGAAAAATGTCAGGTCCATGCAGAATAAGCATTCAATCATTCCTTCAACTAATCTTCTGAACAGCTTCTCCTCCCTACCTCCTGCCCTCAGTTTCTTTCTGTCTTATTCTTCTCCCCTCCTCATTTCTCATCTATCAATCAATCAATCAATCAGAATAGAGCTGGAAGGGACCTTGAAGGTCTTCTAGTCGAACCCCTTGCTTCAAGCAGGAGACCCTATACCCATGATGGCAAACCTATGGCATGTGTGTCAGAGGTGGCACGCATAGCCCTATTCTGCTGGTATGCATGCAGTCGCCCCAGGCAGATCTCTGTGGCGTTTTGTTTCCCTGCAAATGATGAAACAGAAGCTCATAAAAGAAAAATATCTTACCTCTTGCCATGTTGCCGGTGTTGGGATGCCCTACCTCCCACCGGCCAGCTGGTCTTTGGGTCTCTGATGTGCATACGTGCACATGTCTGTACATGCGCATGGTCACACATGCGCATGTTTGTGCATGCACACATTCACACATGTGTACGTTCACACACACACACACACCTTTTAATTTGGGCATGCACGCATGCGCAGTTTGGGCACTTGGTGTCTAAAAGTTTTGCCAACACTGCCCTATACAATTTGAGACAAGTGGCTGTCCAGTCTCTTCTTAAAAACCTCCAGTGATGAAGCATCCACAACTTCTGAAAGCAAGCTGTTCCACTGGTTAATTGTTCTCACAATTAGGAAGTTTCTCCTTAATTCTAGGTTGCTTCTTTCCTTGAGTAGTTTCCATCCATTGTTTTTTGTCTTGCCTTTTGATGCTCTGGAAAATAAGTTGACCCCATCTTCTTTGTGGTAGCCCCTCAGATATTAGAACCCTGCTATCATGTCACCCCTAGTACTTCTGTTCTCTAGATTAGTCATAGCCAGTTCCTGCAAACCTTCATGTGTTTTAGTCTCCAAACCTTTGGTAGAAATGATTCCACTCATTTTCATATTTTGCTCTCTCGTTTGCATCTTCAATGTCATCATACATGTGAAATAACATGAGACACACAATAAATTGGAAAATGTGTCTTAACAGCTGCTGTGAACTCCTATAACAAGTTCCCTTTTTTCCATAGCTCCAGCATTGCACTAAGTAGCCTGAAGATGGGCCATAAGGGGCATTCATTTTGTCAGATATCTGCAAGTTAGGGGGTGTGTGGAATCAAGCTTAAAAGTGAAACCAATGAAGGAAAAATGCTTGGAATCAGGAATGGGAGTTCCATGGAATAGCACTCTTCATTATGAAGATCATACCTAGTGTTTAAATAATATGTAATTTGAGAGATCTTAATTTGTTTAAGTGACAGAACAATCTAAGAACTGTAGCTGTCTTCTGTTGAGGAACTTGGAACATCTGCCTTTCTAGATTGCAGCAACTTGTTCTGAGATAAGCAGAACATGCTCTCATCTGCATGAACTGCTTCCCTGGTGCAAGGAAAGCCCACTAACCACGTTACAAAGACAGGAACCCACAATGCTATCCTTGACCTGCTCCCTTCATTGCAAAGACAAGCTCCACCTGTCCTTGCTTGTGCCACATATAAGTAAGACCACACAGTACAAGGCCCGCTGTGTGTTCTGTCTGCTGCCCTTCATTTCCTAATAGGAAATTTCCTTCATTTCTCTGCTCTGATTGGCTACTGTATGCTGAGGTGAGCTGACCCTTCCCTCTGGTTATCAATTGTTGCTCTCTATGGTCAATTTATCCAGGGCTTCTGGACTGATGAAAGGCTGGTCCCTCCTTTCCTTTTTTAAGGAACCAGTTGAAGTTTCCTCTTTTGATTCAAGTGAATGGGAGATAAAACCCTTCCTTCCTTCCTTCCTTCCTTCCTTCCTTCCTTCCTTCCTTCCTTCCTCCCTCCCTCCCTCCCTCTCTTCCTTCCTTCCTTCCTCATTTTAAAAGATGACATTGACAATTTTGCCAGTTTCCTGTCTAGCTGGGGTGAGAGGAAGAATGATAAAATGACTATATTTTCTCTCTATTTCTCTCCCTCCCCTCTTCCTATGGACTTAAAAAAAGGGGGTGAAATTTGCAAGATTTATTCCTGTTTCTTCTTCTGGGTGAATTGAGGTTATCTTTTCTCCACTACCAGTGGACACACCCAATGGGAAAGTGTCAAGCACACGAATGGGAGCCCATAGAGCTGGGCTCTTACAAAAGGTTTATCAGTGGAAATCATACATCCTTAAAGAACCATCTAGAAATGTTTGCTTTCCTTGCATGGGAGTGAAGGACAAAGACCAAGGAGAGTCCACAAATGGTATGTTAAGTGGTAACTATGGAGAAAACATTTGGTCAGTTTTATTGGCAGAGCTTGAAATCCAGGCACTAATTTCTTCAGATGGTTTATTTCTAGCTAGTATCTACAGTTAAGCAGCTTAAAGAGGCCATGTGAAATTGCCCTAAAATTCAAGGATTCTTTTTTGTTGCAGAATATATTAATTAATATATTAGCACATGTGAACACATTGGCTGTTGCTAACATTATTTCAATTTACTTAAAATATTAAAAATTACTATGACAAAGGAAATCCGAAGGAATTTGGTTCTAGGAATATAACATGACTGATTCCTCTACGACTCTTGCTGTTTAAGTGTGTAGCAAAAAGCCTCAGCCACAAACAGCTTCCCAATGAAAATACAGAAAATGGTATTACTAATCTTCAGCAATTCACTGAGTTCCATGGGGGATTTCTTATCTGAAATATGTCTTCTGTGAAATATGTCCTGAGAGATATAAAAAAAGACAAGGTTAGGTTAAGAAGAAGGCTATCCACCCACCTGTGTTTGGGGTGGGGAATTAAGATAAAAATAATTCAGAGGGAAAGGAAATGCAGGCGTTACCCACAGTGATAATTGCCTATTGAAAATAACCATTTTGTAAAGATCTGGGTAAGCAAATATATGGAAGTGAACCAAATAGACGATGCTTTTTTTGTTTTGTTTTGTCTCCAGGCAGCATCTCTTGAAATCTGTGCGCAGGAACGATGACAGGTAAGTACTGGCACTGCTTAACCCATTTTGTGTGCAACATCACAGGGCAAAGTCACAATGAAAGGATTTGACAATTGCTGCGTAAACTTTGCCAGGGTGCAAAATGGAGCAAACCACTAAATTGGTGCTGAACAATTTGCTGAACTGGGTTCTTGTTTCAGTTCAAATTCAGTTTAAGTGTGTTTCTTGGAGATGACATTTCCTTAGCCTGCAATACAATTATAACAATTTGTGTGACAGAGATATATCTAACATTCTCACTACAAGGAAAAGAGCTGAAAATATTCTGTTGAACATAGTTGGAATGATCTTTCTGATCACCACCTAGTGAATAAAATGGATTTTTTAAAAAAACCTTGAGAAACATTTCAAGAATGCATTTCGTGCTTTTCTCGAAAAAGAAACAACTGTTGGTAATCCATTAATAAATATTGATTCTGACTTATTCACCTATAGGGATAGCTCAGGGGTGGGTTCTACTTATCTTTACTACAGGTTCTCAACAGGATCGCATGCATGGGCTTGCTTTGCTCATGTGCGCACCGAGCTTCTGCACATGCGCTGAGCTTCTGCGCATGCACAGATCACCTATGACAACATCCGGGGCAGTGGGCAGAGCCTCCCGCCAGTTTTACTACCGGTTCTTGCGAACCGGTCCAAACCAGGGGCCACCCGCCACTGGGATAGCTTAAGAATTCATTACCACACAATGACTACTAAGAGATAGTTTCCAAAGAGATTGGACAAATTCCCGAAGAACAAAATTCTTATTTGTTGATATCTTTTATTATTAATAATAGTGTATTAATTTGTATGCCACTCAATTCTCAATGACTCTGGGTGACTCACAACAATCAAGCAAAGAAATTACAATATCATCAGTAGCAATAGCACTTAGACTTATATACCGCTTCATTGTACTTTTTAGCCCTCTCTAAGCAGTTTACAGAATCAGCCTATTGCCCCCAACAATCTGGATCCTCCTTTTACCCACCTCGGAAGGATGGAAGGCTGAGTCAACCTTGAGCCTGGTGAGATTCCATCTGCCAAATTGCTGGCAGCTGGCAGTCAGCAGAAGTAACCTGAAGTACTGCACTCTAACCACCGTGCCACTGCAGCTCAGTAAAACGTAAAATGTAAAAATGGGTCTTTTTTGGACTGTCCCTTGCCAGAAGGTTGGGAGAAAAGCCAGTACTTCAGTCTTAATGATTGTCCTAAACAACAGCAGTGGAGAACCACCTGGATCTTGGGGTCACATCGTTCCAGAAGACAGGTGCCATTTCAGAGAAAGTATGCTTACAAGTTCTGAAAGAAGACATTGTTTAATCAAAGCAATCCTGAGTGTGCCAACCTTACAGGATCAAATCGGTCAGGCTCTGGTGGAAACACTGACTAAAGGAGAAGGAGGAGTAATGAGGTGTGTCAGAATGGTTCCAGTGGAGGAAACTTCATAGACTAGACTAGTGAAGCCTTATCTACAGGTTCCCAAGGGAATACAGCCAATCTGGCGAGATTCTTGTAATACAGGTGATCAACAATAAAGAGCCTGCTTTGGCCTAGTCATGAATTTGTTTTGGTTCCTTGTGCCTGTCACAGTCTCCTGCATGCCTGTTGTACAGGAGACACAACACGATTGCTATTGTTTCCAATAGTGGCAGTATAAGACACGGCTGGGAATCATAGTGCTTATATCTTGTTGATGGCATGTTTAAAGCACCAGACTGCTAATACAGGAACAGCAACATGGGCTTACAAGGAATACCTGGTGTGCTGATCAGTTGTTTGGTGGCCAGCAGAATGGCAGCACTGCTAGAGCTGATGTGATTAACAGTTTAACAGAGTTGGAAGGGACCTTATAGGTCATTTAGTCGAACCCCTCCTTCATGGATTACTGCCTTGTCGTGGCAAAGGGGCTTGCGTAGCTCAATGAAGCTAAGAGCTATGCCATGCAGGGCCACCCAAGATGGACAGGTCATAGTGGAGAGCTCTGACAAAACGTGATCCACTGGAGAAGGAAATGGCAACCCACTCCAGTATCTTTGCCATGAAAACCCTATGGACAGTACCAAAACGCAAAAAGGTATGACACTGATGCTTGGAGGCAATAAAGGCCCATATTGGAGGTGGGCATGGTGAATTTACGATACTGGTAAATGCTGGTAAGCTGCACAAGGCTGCTTGTATGTTCTGTACTGGTCATTGTGTGTTTGCATGTCCTTGTATGTTCTGCAGGCTTGATCTGGAGCCCCCACCCCAATTGAATATGATGAGTATGGGGGCTCATTTATAGAGCAAAGGCAACATTTATCTGACTGATTCCCCATGTTAGTCTTTCTTGAGCACCTAGATATTACTTCCTTCTAGTTTGATTAGAAAGTTGAAGGAAGAGCTTAGTTAATATCTAGGAACCCTTCTGCACAATGGGTCGCAATGGAGGGAAGACAGTAGTAATTAGTATTAGATCAAAGAGGATAAAGGAAAAGAAACACCTTAACACCTTAATAATAAAACAAAAACACCATTCTAACTATTGCGTGATGGCACAGTGGTTAGAATGCAGTACTGTAGGCTATTTCTGGTGACTGCCTGCTGCCAGCAGTTCGGCAGTTTGCTTCTCACTGGCTCAAAGTTGATTCAGCCTTCCATCCTTCTGAAGTCGGTAAAATAAGGACCCAGATTGTTGTTGGGGGCAATATACTGACTCTGTAAACCACTTAGAGAGGGCTGTAAAGCACTGTGAAGTGGTATATACGTCTAAGTGCTATTGCTATTAATATTTTCAAAACAAGACACAAGTTGAAAGTAGGGGCTGAGCCATTTGAACTCGGAAGTTATCCATGCTTAATCAACAGATTCTTGTTTTCAGAACTTACTCTCTAGTAAACATGTTTAGGCCTACAGCCTAAACTCCGCTTACAAAGGAATAAGTCCATTGAACACAACATAAATTAAATAAGAATGATGTTTACCCAGTTACTCTTTTGTCACTCTATTCTTAAATCAGGAATGCAAATATTTCATCCTTTGACTAGGGCAACTTTAGAGCTATCTTTTGATTTAATGGATTATCAGAGTTATAAATAGCTCTTCTCCCAGAAATCAAGGTGCCCCAGATCCATTCTGGAAGTATTTTGATTGATGCCAATGGTGTCCTAGACACAGGGCAGTTTTGGCATGGTTAGCAAACTGCAGTGTATTATTTCTGTAGGCTAAATTAGATTAAATTAGAAGAGTTACAATAATAGAGCTTCTCCCCTTAATGTGTACACTTGATGCCCCTTCCCTGCAGGGATATCAATGCAGTTCATTCTTTTAGTCGAAGAAGACACAATTGTGTCCAAACCTTGCCATTCTCTGCAAATGATAGCAAAACGTGCTTATGGAGAACCTCTTCACAGGCCAGAAAAGTCTTAACACATCCCCTAGAAGCTGTTCACACTTCCTTAGGGAAAATCATCTTCACTTTGAAAAGGATTAGATGAAATGGCTTTTTAAAACAAAACTCCCTGAAACATCATTTAATTAGCTCATTCAGTGAAGTGGTCACTGAAGATTGGTGAAATATTTTGAGTAAAGAAAAAGAGAGGCAGCTTCTTTGGAAATTGCCGTAAACTCATACCAACAGAGAAAATACATGTAAAGCTGTGTTGCCATAATCAGATACCGGGGTCATCGCAGGGGTGAAATGCTCCCGGTTCGGACTGTATTGGGTGATCCGGTAGCGATTGTAGCAGCTGGTTCGGAGAACCGGTAGCAATGGCGGTGCGAGCCTCCACCCATCCACCCAGGTGTCGTTACTTCCTGCTTTAAAAGGTAAAAAAAAGGCGCACCACAGCTGTGATCATCAGAGCCTTTTTTTTACTTTTAAAAGAAGTTTTTTACAACCTATTCAGGCGAATAGGTTGTAAAAAATGCTTTAAAAAAGTAAAAAAAAAAATGGTCACGCCCACCCAGTCACATTATCCCCCCCACCAAGCCATGCCCACAGAACTGGTAGTAATTTACATTTCATCACTGGGTCATTGATAATAATGACCCCAAGTTCATCAGATAAGAATAGTGGATGATAGAAACCAAAACTACATTGATTAGAAGGTAAGCAGATACAACCAAGTGTGTCTCTGGAGGAAAGATACAATGATGGATTACATGCCTCTCAAAACCTCTGGCAGCTTTGGAGGACACCTTATCCAGATAGGGAGAGCTTCACTTTGTAGAAATCCACAACTGTCCTGGCCATGGCTGTGAATTATGGGAATTGAAGTCTAGACAGTTGAAGGGCATCCCAACCAAGAAAGGATTACATAGTTCAAAGACAGACCTCGGTTTTAATTCTCGTTCTTTTGTATGAATGAAAGAAACTCATGTATTTATTTTTTGTTTATCATCTGAAACCAGAAGGATTGTAGGTGGATTACAGAACGTACATATAAAATTCAGGAAAAGTCAATATAAAGAAACAAATAAATAATGACTTAAATCTTCAAAGGATTAAAAAAAAGCCTTCGTCGCTTGGGAAATGCACAGTTTCCCATGAAATACTATGGTTGACTTCATGAAATATTACAGCTGTGTGACAAACATCTAATTTTGGGAGGAGACGGTAAAGGTCCCTCAATGCATCTGATGAACTGAGCCAGGGGTGGGTTCTACTTATGATTACTACCAGTTCGCAGCAGGGCTGTGCATGTGTGCTTGCTTCGCTTGCACACACGCTCTTCTGCGCATGCGCAGAAGCGTTTTGATGATGTCGGGGTCTGTGGGCGGAGCCTCCCACCAGTTTTACTACCGGTTCTATAGAACCGGTGCGAACTAGGGGCAACCCACCACTGAACTGAGTCTCTTCCAAGAGACCTGAAAAGATGGAATTCAGTGTCTGTTTCCCCCAAACAGTCTCTCCCATGTAATCCCATTTATGCACATTGCCAAAATTGAACTTGTCCCAGTCTGGTCATCTATAGAAGACCTGCTGAGAATATCTCTCCTGCCACCCCCACACG